GATGCAAGCTGTCCATTAAAAAATAACGGTATTCTATTTCACAAAGTCAAAGCAAAAATTTAAAACTCACTTGTATTATTAAGAATGCATATACAGCAAAAAATTAAAGCTTATTCATGTCAAAACGAAAGCTGTTTACAAAATTTATAAAGGTGGTGAACACTACTAAACAGTGCTCATTGAAAGACATGTATAATATAGCGACATATAATTTGTCGTTTGACTTATCTTTGGTGTATGATTTTAATACCGTAGATTTTCAACAGACAGTTATACTTTGACATATACCATGATCATTGGTTTCAGCAATGCCAAGGGCCAATTTTATAGTCTTTTGACGGGCTTTAAGTTGTTTTGATAAGGCCTTTATATAGATCAACAATCTGGATACAGTTGGCGATATTTCGGAAATCAAAAGATCCCGCTATTTCGTTGCAATTCCACATCTCATCAATAAATAAATTCTTTTGGTCCGAGTATCAGGATAGACTTTAATACAAAATAAATAGCACTGTTCTGTCTGGATATATTTTCTTGTAGGTTTATAAATATTGCCACGCTGCACAAGTGGCAAGCCGCCGCAAGCGTGCTTTCTTTGGCAAGTCTATAATGAAATCTGATCCAACTTGCTTGAATTGTAACTCGACACCAGATTATAGAGTAGAACGTCACGATATAAATATTAATTTAAGAGTTCTCTTTACAATTTCTTGTTGCAAATTTACAGTAAATTTCATCAACCAAAGTTGCAATTTTAAAACTCTACAAACACGCTCCTTTCCCACCCCTCTCACAGTTACAATTAAATTTACCTCCCAGAATCTGGGAGGCACGTGACCAGCCGCAGCCAGGGTCTCTCCCAGATGACAGAAGGAGAGACCCTGGGAACGAGGTTGAGATTGCCTTTGTTTCCGCGCCTCTGTAAAGGAAATGTGTTTCTTCTATTCACGTTCTCTTCATCTATCAATAAACCCATGATAATGTCTGGCAATTTCCATCAATGTCAGGCAACGTTTTGACCTTTTTTTCATTTTGGCAAATTTTCCCCGCACAGTTGTCTGCATGAAGAAAGTCAATTCTCTTGCAAGAAACTTCGGAATCCATTCTGAAATATATTTACACAATTTTTATACCCGTTCTCCGAATTTTACGCAACTTACCCGAAAATACACGTACGATTTCTGCCAATCCGAAACTCATCATATTTACAAGCCTAACCACTAAACCAGTATAATTATAGTGATAAGAAGATGCCTGCTCAGGCGTTCACACCGGCCTGAAAATAACGAGATACGTGCTATGGTGCTAAAAGCAGGAATACAAATCTTAAACCGCAAGCAAATTTTATGGACTTTTTAAAAAAAATAAAAGACCTTTTCGGGAGACGTAATGGTGCAAATCTATTCCTAGGAGTTACTATCGCAAGGAAAGTGCTGCCTTTATGGCGTATGAAGTGAATGCAAAAATTTCTACTTCTAGACAATTCTCGGTTATATCCCCAATGTTTCCTTCTCGTTCATCATTTAAGCCCATTCACAAACTCATTCTTAAATTGTGTGCACGGAATACGAGTAAATAGCCAACATGAAAATGAAGCCATTGGGTCAAAAGTGTATATTAAGGTCTATTAACCTATTAGCTGACAATGCACACTATTTTAGTATTAACTCTGGCTAACGCCAGACCAATTTACACTGTAACGCCAGACGATTTTACTTGTTAGTGGCAGAGTACTGTCAGTAAATGGGTTAACAAACACATCTGACATTGGTCTCTTATTAAACAAATCTGACATTGGTCTCTTATAAACACTTGTGCAGTTGTATATGTTTGGGCATAAACTATGCCAAACACTCAAATATAACAGGAATAAACAATCTCACAAGTACTTTAACTAAAATCTGACGTAAACGGCCAAACAGCAGTGAAATAAAAACTTTGCAAATAAGGACAATTTTTTATATGATCAACTGACTCTTCGAGAAATTCGATTGACCAATCAGAACTGCAATTTGAAGAGCCCTTGTGTGCAATTCCTATTATTCAATGAAACTGGAACAACAAGTATTTTTAAAACGCAATTATTTTTTTTCGGTGCTGGCTTATTTGAGATCAACAAATATTTCTTGAAGTGGTCATCTCAAAATTGAATGATAATATTTATCGGTCATTAGTATAAACTGTTAAGGAAATATGTAAGATGCTACCAGGACAAAAATATACTCTTGTTTGTGTCTACATGTACATATGCGTACGGGGCTGGAGAGGGGGAGGGGGGGGGGGTGCCCCGCCCCCAGTCAGTGTTTAGTCGGGTAGATTATACTTTAACGCCCGTATTCTAAAAGCTCACTCACACTCAATGAGTGGAGGTTCAATCTGAGCTTTTCTTGAGTGTCATTGCTGTTTTTGAATAGCTGGAGGGTGAGTGGTCACTTAGTAAGGTACGACACTAACTCTCCAGCTATTCAAAAACAGCATTGAAACTTAAGAAAAGCTCAGATTGAACCTCCACTCATTGAGTGTGAGTGTGCTTTTAGAATACGGGCGTAAATATCGGGCAGATTTTTTCACAGTACAATCTCATTCGAGGCTTTTATCGAAAGAAAGTTTCCAATACATCTCAATCTGTAATGAATTTCATATGAGTACTAATTATCTCGATAGATACGCATTGAATTATAGAGAGAATCAAATACTGACTTTTTATTCGTTGAGTTATTTCACAAGTAACATTTATATGGATTTAAACAAGCCTTAAGAAAGTGCTTGAAATTAACATACGTGCAAGGATCATTGGTTATACAATGTTTACAACTGAGAAATATGAAAGTAAAGAAAGGTCCTCGCCTGTTTTTATCTTAACAAAGAAACGAGAGAATATTTAAATGTCATATATTCCAAAAAGCATCACTCAAGAGCAGCTTCAATTATGTCTGCTTCGTCGTTTCGTCTTTTCAAATCTCCTTTGGCCTGCTTGTTCGGATTCTTGTAGAAATTTCTCAATTCTTTTATTGCATTGTTCCACTCATTTTTCGTCACAAATCCCCAGAACTTTGGATAAGCCGAAGGGCTACCAAACTGACACCAAACGCTGACGATGGCTGTGCGAATACCGCGAGGAAGTGATGCAAATGGTAGCGCATTCTCGTCTTTATTTCTGTTGTATCTGTTTGAAACTTCAGTAACCACATCGTTTTTAACAGCATCTGTCAAAATGTTTGCTTCCTCTAGCGTTAGTCTCAAGGGGCGTTCAATCACAGCACAGGCAGCGAGATTTCGTTTCAAACCAAAGTAAGGTTCAAGTTTGTCAACCAATGTGCTTGACAATGACGCGAAAGACGCCCTTGACTTGCTTCCAAGATCAACACCAGCGCCAATCGTAACACCACTTTGGCCAAGGACTTCACCAGATCTTCGATGGATCGGGACGTATCCACACAAAGTAAAACCTTCATGACAATTCAGAAACTTTTGGTAAATCATTGGCGCAGACGTTTCGCTGCCTTCAGGAATTCCCGACTTCCAGGAAGTTGGACAGTCCAGCTGTTCAACTTTGCAATCGGTTGGAACTCGACGTTTACATTTATAGTCTGCCGGTTTATATTCAGTTTCGCAGTTGTTTGTTTGAGCGTAAACCGTGCCAAGCACGAATACAAGAAGAATTGAATACCTCACAAGCATTTTAACTAAAATCTGACCGAGTGAGTCCAATGTATACGTGAACAGGTCAAACAGAAGTGAAATAAAAAGCTTTGTAAATAGGACATTTTTTTATATGATCAACTGACTCTTCGAGAAATTCGATTGGCCAATCAGAACAAGTGCAATTTGAAGAGCACTTGTGTGCAATTGCTAATATTCAGAAAAAGAGACGATGAAACAAGAGCAACAATTATTTTTAAAACGCAATTCAATTTGTTTTTGTGTCACATATTTGCATGAACAAATATTTCTTGAAGTGGTCATCTCAAAATGGAATGGTAATAGGGTTTGGTATACTATAATTATACCAGTCTTTCATATAAGCTGTTTCGGAAATATGCGAGACGCTGCAATAGAGCGAGGAGTTTTCGATGGAATGTCAAAGAATCAAATCTCGAAATACTCGTAAATAATTCTATAATTTTATTTATCGTTTTAAGATTGACTTTATTTACGCGCGTCCCTGTAGGAGATGTGTTTCTTCTATTTACCTTGTATTCATCTATCAATAAACTCATTATAATGTCGAGCAATTTCCATCAATATCGGGCACATTTTTGACCGCCCCCCCCCCTAATTTTTTCACACATATAGTAATCATCTGTATGAGGAAAGTCAATTCTATTGGAAGAAACCTCGGAATTCATTCAGAAATATATTGCTGAATTCAATTTGCTGAATTTTTACACCCGTTTTCCGAATTTTATGCAACTTGCCCGAAAATACACGTAGGATATCTACCAATCCGAAACTCACCATATTTACAAGCCTAAAGTGCAATTTTAGTGATAATTATTGCATTCAAAATTTAAGCAATGCAAATAACACGGACGCATGTCTGTTAAATTATCTTATATTGTGATGTTATGTTCTCGCTTTAGGTTTCTATATCTAGATTTCGTTCGGTCCATGCATGGCCAAAATTTTAAGCATATAACTGTTTTTAGTACTTGACTGCGTTACATATTAATCTTTGTATCCAGCCCGCTTGCGGGCAACAAACACAGCCTACGTACATTTTTTAAATATTTCATTAAATGGTCATTTCAGTAGAATAATTGCGCATACTATAATTAGATCGGTCTTTAATATATTAAACTGTTAAGGAAATATTTCAGACGCTGTCTGGTCAAAAATATGTTTTCTGATATACGTGGTTTTTCTAGATTTTACCAATACCAATTTTTATTAGAATCTAAAATTGAGTTTGAAATTAATTTGCTTTGGTTGGAACAAAAAGTTGTTGTTGTACATGTAAACCTGTCAGTAATCTGCGCTTCAAAGTTGCGAAGTCCAGTTGTTCAGTTTGCAATCGGTTGGAACACGAAGTTCACTAATGTAATTTGATGGTTTGTAAACATTTGTGCAGTTGTATGTTAGGACATAAATCATGCAAACACACAAATAGAAGGAGAATTAAAAATCTCACAAGCATGTTAACTAACATCCGACGTAAACGGCCAAACAGCAGTGAAATAAAAAACTTTGCAAATAGGACAATTTTTTATACGATCAACTGACTCTTCGAGAAATTCGATTGACCAATCAGAAGTGCAATTTGAAGAGCCCTTGTGTGCAATTCCTAGTATTCAATGAAACAGGAACAACAATTATTTTTAAAATGCAATTAATTTTTTATGTTGGGCTATTTGAGATCAACAAATATTTCTTGAAGTAATTATCTCAAAATAGAATGATAATAGGGCTTGCTATACTATAATTATATCGGTTTTTAGTATAAAGTGTTAAGGAATTATTCGAGAAGCTGCCAAGACAAAAATATACTCGTGTTTCTGTTGTCAGGGACGTGCTGATTAGGGACGAGTCGACGAGAACTTGTTGTGGGCCCCTGCCATCACGGGCTTCTAAGATTAAAACAATGGAAAAGATAAAAAATATAGATTTTAATTTTGAAAATCAAGATTAAGACATTACAATTTATAGTTAAAAATCTAAATTTACCGAATATTACCGAAAATGTTAACAAATCACTGTACATTAATTCGAAACTTGCTGCAAAATCGCATGTCCGGAAATGTTTTTACTCCCCCCCGCCCCGCCAACAATTTTGGGAAAAAAGATTAATTAGCGATTGAAATATTTCATGTTTGGTCAGTAATACCCCTCTCCAATCTTGATCCATCCGTCCCTGGGCCTGGGCCCCATCATACGTTGCTCATGTGCTTGACAATGACGTGAAAGACGCCCTCGATTTGCTTCCAAGATCAACACCAGCGCCAGTCGTAACGCCACTTTGTCCAAGGACTTCGCCAGATTTTGGATCGATCGGGACGTATCCACACGAAGTAAAACCTTTATGACAATTCAGAAACTTCTGGTAAATCATTGGTGCAGATGTTTCGCTGCCTTTAGGAATTCCAGACTTCCAGGAGCATGGACAGTTCATGTGTACAAGTTTGCAATCGGTTGGAACTCGACTTTTACGTTTATAATCTGCCGGTTTATAATCATTTTTGCACTTGTATGTTTGGGCCTAAACCGTGCCAAGCACAAATGCAAGAATTGAAAACCTCACAAGCATTTTAACTAAAATCTGACCGACTGAGTCCAATGTACGTAAACAGGTCAAACAGAAGTGAAATAAAAAGCTTTGCAAATAGGACAATATTTTATACGATCAACCGACTCTTCGAGAAATTCGATTGACGAATCAGAACAAGTGCAATTTGAAGAGCCCTTGGCTGCAATTCCTGGTATTCAATGAAACAGGAACAACAATTATCTTTAAAACGCAATTAATTTTTTTTCGATGTCACATAGAGCGAATATTTCTTGAAAGGGGGTCATCTCAAAATAGAATGATAATAGGTTTGGTATAGTATAATTATACCGTCTGTAATATAAACTGTTAAGGAAATATGTGAGACGCTGCAATATAGCGAGGATTTTATTTATCGTTTTAAGATTGACTTTATTTCTGCGCATTTGTATAGCAGATGTGTTTCTATTACGTTCTCTTCATCTATCAATAAACTCATGATAATATGTGAGACGCTGTAATAGAGCGAGGATATAATTTTATTTATGGTTGTAAGATTAACTTTATTTCCATTCGTCTGTACAGGAGATGTGTTTCTTCTATTTATGTTGTTTCATGTTTCTTCCATGATAATGTCGGGGAATTTCCATCAATGTCGGGCAAAGTTTTGCCCCCCCCCCC